CATGCGGAGGCCCGTGCGGTCACCTGCACACGTGGCAACTCTGATTTCTTCCCCTTTTCTCCTTCCAATCAATGGCACTTTGGCTCTTGAGCTGGAGGGACTTGCAACATCATGGACAATCAATTCATTACTAAAAACAGCAGATACAAGCCATGTACAAAAACACACATCAGAGAAATTTTAAACATATTTGGCAGCTTTCACACTTACATCACCCTATCTACCTTCAAGTGTCCCCAGCAAGGACACACATTCCAAAAGACTGTATCAACACCTGTGTCAATGCACTCGACTATCTGACCGATAATGGCATTATTACTTTTGTACTTAAATTAAAGTATCTTAAAACATGTAACCTGGTAACTCCGTCCCTAGGACGGTCACAAAGATCATATTCTGCCAGTGCCTATTTAATGTAGATTCACTAAAATTCCTGGATGCGGCAAAATACCATAACACCATAAGAAATCCATGTCAGATATCCTGCTGTGGCTGTGTATCGCATGGCGACACTGATGCTTGTGTTTTCTAGTTTTCCATCTAAACTGCATGTTTTACACTCCTCTGGTCTGAAAACAGGCCCTTTCATGTTGTCTTCTGGGATTCTTATAGGTAATTTTTTTTGTCATAAATACTATTATTTTTTCTACAGTTTCTGAAGTGAGAAAGCAAATACATTCCTCTCGCTCATGTTTTCTAAATTTGTAGGCACTTCTTATGTTAATCCAGTTAACCTGAATCACATAGGTTTTCACAAATGTGTTATTTATTTCCAGGCAATCTAATGTTTTGTAATCATGACTTTCAAAAACTTTTTGTTACTGAGATGCCATGAGTTTTCTTTGGAGGATTAATTTGTGCAGCTATATTAATAGTTTAGTGCCCTCACCAGCCATTCTGGGGAAATGCTGAATCACATGTATAGCACAGCAGGTGGGATCCATCCAGTCCTATCTAGACCTCTGTCATGTAGAGGTCTACATCTAATATAGGCTCCCTTCATACACGAGGAAGAATTAAGCATCTTTAGAGCATGAGTCATGTCATCCTAAAGTAGACGCCTAGAATAGATCAGATGATTTGTGCCCTAAAATTGCTCCTATTTCTCTGTGTTAAAGAAGTAGTTTAGATCTCCATTTCTCCATTGTAGCAGCCTCAAGTGAGGTGAGACAAATTAATACTCATATCCAGGTTTATATCATGCTTCAAAGTACCCTAAAATTCTTATTTGTAAAGAAAACTGAAAATAGCATTACTTTCTATATTATTCTCGGTTTATAAAAAAGCAGCTTTTAAAAGTTTGCTGACTCAAGACATTTTAGTAAAAATGGCAAATGCTATGTGTTTCATGGGAAAGTCATAGCACCTCTCTTTCTAATAATATAAGTCTTCCAGTTCTCCATCTGCAAGGCTGGGAAATAAATGAGTTAGATACATTGTAGGTCCAGAATAGGATCCTGTACTTGTGGTGAAATTATGCAATATCTGGAGGAATGAAAAAAAACCAACCAAACAAACTTTTTTTATGGCAAGCTGATTTATTTTTTTTAAACGACACTCAAAAATTGATATGTGAAAAGTTCACGTAAAGCTGAACTGGTTGGCAGAGTATAGGTGAAACAGGTTTTTTTTTAAAAAAAAGTCTTAATGTCTAAAACTTGCCAGAGGTGTCCCATTAGCGTGGTACTTGTGAGGAGAACGTGTGCCAGGAACTCCTCAAGAAATGCAGGATCCTTCTGACCAGCTCTGCTCGCAGGAGTTAAAATCCTGCATAAAGCTGATGAGTAAGCTCGTCATGACTCACTGTGGCAGATGCAGTCTTTAATTCCAGGAGGGTATAAGGGAAGTGGGTGTGAATCTCGAGTAGAGGGGAGCTTGGGGTAGGGATGTTCCTGCCTCAGTGTCTTGGGGATAAAAGTGTAGGTTTTCAATACAGCCCCAGCTATCGGTAAAGCCAAACTTGTGTAAGGGGTAAGTTTGACATTACACATCACACATAGATTTTATGTGAAGCGGGGTTGGAACACCACCTACTCACAGATGGGTATAATTTTGGGGATGTCCTGCATAATTCATGTGTGGCTTTGATACTTATGAGTAATTCAGACATCAAAGCCTCAACTTAGATAACACTTTTGTAACACTAAACTTCCTATAGCCAATAATCTGTGGGCTTTCATTTAAGTTCCTTTAAAAAAAGCAACTATACCAATACTTTCTTCTTTCCCTTCAGATATTTTTCATAAGGTATGTTGGTGTGAAGTACAAGATAGAAAATACTGAAGCCTGGACTAGAGAAACAATTAAAATTCCATATAATACTCTTCACTGGGACTGCAAATGTAAATTTTAAAGCACTGGAAAGGAGCTGGGAGCCTCTTTCCCAGTTGTTTCTAGATTGAGAGCACGCCAGATGCCAGGCCCTTCAGTCTCTGCAATATTCCCTCTGCTTTGCCAGTAGCACAAACCTTCACTTTTCAGCAGTCCAATTTCCTAACAAGCAATTTTATGTTCTCTTCCAAGTTAGCCATTACGCATGGAAAAACCTTCCCATTAATAACCATAAAGCTCCTTTATTGTTCTCCTTCAAATCTCCTTAAAACTTCCTTCTGACACCAAACACTTGTCATTGGCCAGGCCTGTTGCTTTTTATTCTCCAGGCTGCTTTTCCCTTCTCCTTCCCCCATGGGTCTGTAGTATACACCTGTTGTCTTTCATCATGGGTTAAGATCATAAGCTCTTTGGGCATAGACCATCTCTCTTATTACATGTGTCTACAGTATCCGACACAATGGGACTGGGAGCCCTCAACGGGGCCTCCGGGTACTGCCATGATCCAGTTGATAAAGAATAATGATTTTTGACATGGTGAGTTCTGCAGTTTTTCCCCAAGTCATTCTGCAGTTGTTCACGCTGATATAACCAGCGTGCACGTGTGAGCAGTGTCCTTAAACCCGATACACAGGGTAAATGCTTGGAACTGTTTACTGGGGAGCGCTGACTTTCCTCCTTTGGGGCTGGGGGGCTCGTCTGCTCGTGCACATCGAAATGCATGGAGTGACACGCAGCAACTGTTTCTTTTTGTGGGTTTGCACTGAACTAGTGTGATGGGACCCTGCTCTGAAGCTTCTGCATCCCTTCCTTCAAATAGTAATAAAGACCGATGGAGTCAAATGGAAGGGAGGTGGCTGGTGCATCACGGCCATGGAGCGTGTCAGTTCCCTAAAGGTCCGTGGGGATTCAGGACACAGCCTTTCCCTGCTGCAGTTTCCCCAGTAGACGTGGAGCCTCTCAAGTGTTAAGTCACGGTGGCAAGTGGAGGGATGCAGAAAGGCTGCACCAGTCAGAGCTGGGCTGCTGGCTTTTGTGGTGGGGAAGGCAAGGAGAGCCGCCCCCTCCACCCCATGCCCACCGAGAAGGGGGACATCCAGAGAGTCAATTATTTTTAATTAACCCCCTTGCAAAATTCTCCTTCTCCGGAGCTCTGTTTCCAGCCTCCACCAGTGACCTTCCTGGGCCCCACCACCTCAGCGATGCACATCATCATTCACACCCTGCAATCTCTTCCCCCCAGCCCCCAAGATATTATGTTTCTTCTTTTCTCCCTGCCTCTCTGCCCCCACCACCCCCAAAAGAGCCTGTCTTCAGGTTTTGCATTTAATTCAAAGGGCTGCTGGAGCTGTCCTCTCCCTCATGCAAGCCTCCGCATCGTGCCCGGTCCTTGAGCTCTGCCCAAGCAACCCTTCCGCAACGGCAGGAGACCTTTCTGTCCCTTTGCTAAATAATGCAGCTATATCGGAGCGCGGCAAAACCATAATCACATCAATCCTCGGCATCGTAAGAAGAAACAGAAATCCTCTCCCCCTGGCCGGGTCTCTCCTGGCGGTTTTAAATAACTTCTTTTT